TATATTTTATAATTATATTTACTATAAGGTAAAACTATATATTTATTACGTCTAGATCTTTATATTAAGCCCTCTTATAGTTATACTTATAAAAAAAACGCGTTTAGAGCTCTAGTGTTTATTTAATAAAGTTTAAGGCCTAGCGCTTACTAACTAGAGGCGTGTTATAGTTAGTAAGCAGTTAATTAGCTATTTCTTTAACACTACTAAGGTAGAGAGGAAATAATTAGGAATCTAGGTTAAAAATAAACTTAACTAGCTTCCTCTCTTTAAGTTCTATTAAATTCTATAAGTTAGGTATAATATTATGTTATAATAGTATACCTTTTAATTAATACGTTACTAAATTATAACTAACGTTATATATCTTTACTATAGCTTAAATACTAAGTTTTAGATCTTTTTTATACGCTTAGATAGCTAGCTATACCTAGACTTTATTATAAGTTAATTTTATTATTATTAGTAAAGGAATAAAAAGGAAAGGTTAGATAGTTAGATAGTTATAGTTTAGTAGCGCGCTTGCTTGTTTAGCGTGCTTACTTATTATATATATTATATTATATTCTTTTTTTATATTAATAACTATATATTAGCTTATTACTATATAAATAAAATATAAGTAAGTAATAAAATAGTAGGCTTTTAGTAATAATACTACCTTAAAAATAAAGGCTTATTATAATAGTTTCTTAGCCTTAAGGTAATTTATAACTAAAGTAACTATTATCTTTAGCTTTAAAAGTAGTATACTATAATAAAATAATAAAACTACTACTAATAAATAATAAATATAAATATAATAAATTATTACTTATAGTAAAAGCTAAGCTACTACTTAGTAAATATATAGCCTTATTATAAGAGGTTAACTAATATTAAAAAAAAGTAAAAATAATCCTTTATATAGTAGTAATAACTTAGCTAGACGTTACTTTTATAGCTAGCTAGCTTACTTACTTTAACTATAATCTAAATTTAGATTACTAAAAGGCTATAACTTATATACTTAGGTATTTTTATTAAATATAGTACTTTTACTTTAAACATAAAGTAATACTAACTAGTAAAAATAATATATTAAAGGTTACTTTAGACGCCTTATTTACTAATAACCTACTTAATTATTATAGCTTATAAGTATATATACTAAAGCTATTTAAAGGGCTTATCTCTTAGTAAGCTAATAAATAGGATATAGTAATAATATTAACTACTAAAGCTAAATTACTAGCCTTATTATTTATTATAAAAAAGGCACTTTTTACTAGTAAATTAATTACTATACTAAGTATTTAACTATTAATATAACTAAGAACTAAATTATTACTTAATAAGTAAGTAGCTACTAAATAGCTACTAACTATTTATATTAGCTATAATAATACCTAAACTATTAGGCTTATTACTAAGGAGCTTATTTAATTATAAATAAGGCTATAGTATATAGATATTTATAACTACTAGCTATATTAAGAAGTAGTAGTAAATTAAATTACTATATAATATAAGAAGTCTACTAAATTAATAGCTAATAGATTAATAAAGGCGCTTAGTGTACTATAATTTATTACTTTTATAGCTTAATTAAATATAAGTAACTAATATAAGCACCTTAAAGTAAATTAATAGTAAGAATTAGCTAATAATAAAGTAAAGTAATACTACTAAATAAAGAAGAAAAATATATAAGATATTAAAAGATAATTAATAAATAAATAGGCTATATATAAAGGATATTTAGTATAAGCTTTATAGTAATTAATTACACTACTAGTACTAAGGGGGTATATTAAATATAGTAGAATTATATATAAATTAGCTAGTAAATATATAATTACCTTATAGTAAATTATTAGGAAATAGGTAGTAAATTAGCCCTACTTTTAGGGGTAACCTTACTAATAATATTACTAGGATTAGCTAGGGATTTCCTAACTAAGAAATAGGGGTTTTTCTATATTTCTATAGGAATTTATAAGAGTTATATAATATATAATAGAATTAATTAAGTAACTATTATAATCCTTACTATTTAATAAGGGTAAATTAATAAAAAGTAAGAATAATTATGTTTATATAAGTTTATAAGCTACTATTACCTTATAATTATACTATTAGAGGTATATACTAGTATTTTAGATCCTCCTTCTATAGACATATTATAGGTAGTATAAGAGCTATAACTAGTTTAATAGTGCTAATTCTAAGGTAATATACTGTTCTATAGCAAATTACATACTCTATAACATCTTATAGGATATAAGACTAATTAGAGTTTAACTATTATTTAACCTTAAGGGCGTTTCCCTCTTTAAAAATGTTAAAAGGGCTGAGAGGTATTTTATATAGATAGAATCTAACTAGGCCTCTTTATAATATTACTCTAGACTTTGTCTGTAATTTCCTAAAAGCCTTTAAGGTAATCTAATTACTACTAGTAAGTAAGACCTTTGACCTTAGTAGACTTATATACAGAAGCAGTCTGTAGGGTTTTGTTGACACTACGAGGAACTAGACTTTCTTGCCACACAGTCTTGTTAATATTAAAGCGCCAGGGTATATAGCTGTCATTGAAGTCATAAGCATATAGGGGTACCTCCACTTTTATGTGCACTTTGACAGCAACATATCCCAGCCTTTTTTTTTTTTTTCAAATACATAACCCCTCTTTAGTCGCGTGCTAGTGGCGCGTAGGTAGAGTGGGGGGCAGATGACTAGCGTTAACCTTGTGTCACTATAAGGAACAACAGGTGAAAGCGAGAAATGTTTAATTGTCGCACGAGAACCGTAAAACAGCCTGCTTAAACCACGGCCAGTACGTGTTCTTGATCCACCGTTTTAGGTATTGCAGTACGCACACAATCTGATAAACCCTAGTTACCTTGGCGCTGGAGCCAATGTGCTGGCTGGTCCATAAAGTCTGCTGCATGTCAGCACAGGCGGCCGGAGAAGGAAGAACGACAAGACTTACCACCTGATCACCTTGTTTTGTGCTCGCCACGAAAGACCAATCGTGTCCCTAGATAATAATCCCCGGCAGAAACTCTGGCAGCTGCATCTTGGGTTCCGCCCGGCTGACCAGACGGTCCAAAAGACGCCACTGGGCGGCATGCCATGTTACCAGCTGGGCCTTGGTATTGTTCAGTCCTTTGCCATGGATCTTAGTCTTGATGGAGAGGGCGATTGGCTGGGCCTGGAGTGGGGGGAAGTTGGTGTGGTTTATGGAGACGCTTGCCAGCACATCCTGATTGCGGATGGCTTGGATAGCAATAGAGGATAAGGCGTCAGGACGGATACACACACAGAAGTTAACCTTCTGGCTAACGGTATCAGTATAGTTGCTTATGATGGTTGCAGAGGTGCTGTGACAACCGCGTTAGTCACCACAAGCTAGATCTAGGCGACAGTAATGGGGGAGAAGGACGTACGTACCAGGGACTAAAGACAACAATCTCGTCATTGTTCCGCCACAAGCCGGCAAATGCAAGCTCCAAAATCTGGCCATAAATAATTTAGTTCTATCCGGCTTTGTCCATCTGCTTGTCATAGCAGCTAATGCCCTGTTCTATAATGTCAAGGACAGAGGCAATAGAGGGAGTGGGGCTAAGTGCACTGCGCGCACCCTCCCTAACTTTTACCTCTTGCTTATAGAAGAAGCTCTTAAAGATGTCCTGCTTATATTCTGGTGACGTTTGTTAGGCGGCTTTGACTGCGTCCTGCACACCTAGGTTAGTATATAAAGAAACAAAGAATGGATCTTAGATTTTTTAGTTACCTTCTCTGCAAGGCTAATAATGCTAATTCCCTTGTTGTATTAGTTAATATCCCTCTACATACTCTTAAGTAAGGTAGGGATGTCCTCCTTAATGGTAAACTGGCGTAAGAAGGCCTTCCTAATAGCCTAGTTCTAGGCTAGCTTCTTAGGCGACACTAAAGCGCTGCGGCGTGTAGACATAGTGGCTAAAAGAGTTCCCTATTCTAGCACCAGCTTTGTCTTTTTGCTCTTAGGAGTCTGTTCATTGTCTTAGTATAAAGAGGCGACGCTGGAAGAAGCTGCGCTAGGGGTATTGGGTTCGTCATGCGACCGTTTGGTTGGCGAGGCGGACATGGTTGATGCCGGTGGGGTGAGGTGGCACCGCCGTTTCGGTGGGGGCTGCTCAGCGTCAGAACCTGGAGCTCAGCTTTTGCTGCGTTTTCTGCTAGACGAGACGTAACAAGATGATGGGTCCGGACGAGACAAGAGAGTATTAAGCCAGGCTAGAACGTTCTGTTGCAGGTAGCAGGGTAAGGTCATCTGGCGTGCGTGGGTTTTAGGGTCGCGCTCGTGGCGTCAGGTCAATTGTGGGTTTAACCTTAAGTAAGATTTGAATTCTTTTAGCTGTAGTGGCAAGAAGAGTTAGTTTGGGGACTTGTCGAGTCGGACTTGTCGAGTCGGACTTGTCGAGACGGCGGTACAATGGGTGGCTTCGTCATCTATTATTGTTGTTGCGATAGGTAATCAATGTTGAGATGTTGAAGATGGAATGGATGTCGGGGGTCCGTGCAGTTGCGCGGGGCAACGAGGCTTGGAGGATGTGGCAGGTGGCTGATGTGCAGTGAGCCGTGGCGCATGCTGACTGAGCTATTAACTTGCCTAACCAAGGTCGCCGTGTCAGGTGACTGCACCGGCAGTGCGCGCCTTGGCCAAAGTGGGGACAATGGCCGGAAGTGCGCTAGCCATTTCTAGGGTGGATTTCCCCACCCTAAAAGGGGAAAATAATGTTCCGTCTATTGGCCCTAAAGAAGCTGTTAAATCGTAGGGATTATAATAGTGAATTAATTATGTTAAATAGTAGGGATTATAATAGTTACTTAATTAATTCTGTTATGTGTTATGTAACTATAGTAAATTCCTATAGAAATAGGAAAAAACCCCTATTTCTTAGTTAGGAAATCCCTAGCTAATCCTAGTAATATTATTAGTAAAGTTACCCCTAAAAGTAGGGCTAATTTACTACTTATTCCCTAATAATTTACTATAAGGTAACTATATATTTACTAGCTAATTTATATATAATTCTACTATATTTAATATACCCCCTTAGTGCTAGTAGCGTAATTAATTACTATAGAGCCTATTATTAAATATAGTAGAATTATATATAAATTAGCTAGTAAATATATAGTTACCTTATAGTAAATTATTAGGCAATAGGTAGTAAATTAGCCTTACTTTTAGGGGTAACTTTACTAATAATATTACTAGGATTAGCTAGGGATTTCCTAACTAAGATATAGGGCTTTTTCCCTATTTCTATAGGAATATATAAGAGTTACATAACATATAATAGAATTAATTAAGTAACTATTACAATCCCTACTATTTAACAACTGCTGCTGCCTACTATCTGTCTGTTAGGTAGGGCAACATAGCCTGTAACTTGTTAGGTTGTAACAGTAGTGTGCTATGTAAATATTACGTGACCTACCTCACCTAACTATATTACCTATATGCTAACAGGCGGCAACACTTGGCCGCGAATCCTTGACAACCAGCTCTGCGACAAGCCTGATAGCCGCCCATCTCTTGTTAAGCTGGCCTGCTGCAAAATCCTGCTAGACAAGAAGGCTCTTAAGAAACAAATCTTCTCGTTAGTGTAGATGTCCCCTAACAACACCTAAAACGTTGATTGACATTGGGAAACTGGGTTGAAGGGATAGCGAGACAAGCCTAAGTAAGAGACAGAGAGAGAATAGCAACAAGCAAGCTACTTAGGCTAAAGACTTATCCTAGCTATCCTTCCTGGAGACCTTTTTTGTGTTCAGAACAGCTAGAGCTGGATTTGCGCCCGCGTTTTTGCTTGTCATCTAACACTCAGTCTTTACTGAGCAGGTTAAATCGTCTTATTCCTTGTTTCCCCTTCTTTAGGCAACAGTAGATACTAATAATTAAGGTAATGCTTGCTGCTTCTCTTAGCCAGAAAGTCTCCCACCCCTGCCGATAACCAGTGTTTTCTACGGCCACAAATCAGCAAGGGCGTCGACCAGACAAGACCTTGGCCGGTTTTGAAATCCGCCCCTAAGTTGAAACTCTCTTCTGTGTATATTACCGCTAGCCAGAGCCTCCTCCAACGCTATTACAGCTAATCTGACAGATAAGAATCCCTCTATACTAGCCTACAGTACTGATAAATAGATAGGTGACTCGCTGGGTATAAGGTGATTAACACAGACCGTACTAAGATCTGCCTACAGATCACGGCTTCTGCTAACTTTCCCTCTACAAGTACTCATCCAGAAATTATCCATACGCTCAGCAGGCCTTGCGAGGCCAACAGAAAGCCTGGTGAGGATTATGTTGCTGCAGTAAAGTGATTTATACAGTATATCACCAGCAAACTTGACATTGACATCGACTTTAATGGAACTTTGTCTATAAACGACCTAAAACTTCTTTTATGCCGCGAGAGACGCCGCCTATGATGACTTACATCTGGCTTGTGTGAGCACTAGAGAATAGGTGGTTATGTTGGCTAGTGGGCCCGTGATATAGAAGCGAAAGGGGCAGGCTTGGGTCACCGCTAGCTCTATAGAGGTAAGGTTTATGAACCTGACCCTAACCGGCCTCTTGGTACGTTGGGCTTACAAGCTTCTTGGCCTTGGCTCTGAACGGTGGCGCCCACTGGTCACTACTAAGAGATCCTAGAAACGGGCTTATGAACGTGATGCATTCGCTCAATCAAGCCTGCATTCAAAACCCTGACTTACGATACAAGTGGGTTATTGAACAAGTTAAGAAAGGCAACTTCAACCTCTAGCCTATTCAATTGAACCCACGAGATGCCCACTGACGGGTTTACCGAGGCTTTTAGCCACCAGAAGCAAGCGAACTTTATGAGCACTCTCAGCTTCACCAAAAAAGACTGGTAAATGAGCATCTGAATCAACTTCTACAAGATCACAGAGGAATAATGAATCATACAAGTCAGAGGCAACAGAGGACATAGTGGTATCGCTGCGCGCGGGAACAACAGGACGTACTGTCGGCTCCAGATCGCCCAGTCCTACCAGCCCACTCTATCCAACTTCTTCTCATTGCTATCACCTTGATCGGAAATTAGTGGTCACACTCAGCGACATTGCAACTTCGTATCATGGAGGACTCGTAATCGAAGCGTCGAGGATGTGACCAGCCCAGAACAGATGTCTCCCTTCTAATGTCTAACCTGTTCAACCATTGCTCCACGTACATAGCAGCTGATCCCTGAGACTGAATCAAGATGACACCCACCTCATCATGTGAAAGCCGCGGCGGTTACAAAACCTCCCACTTATAATACTATAGACAAGATGACAGCCAAGACAGATGAAAATGCTACTTCCTAAAACCCCAACGGTGAGGAAGACTTTGTAAGTACCCTAACAGACAAGTTCTTAATCTAGACCAAGCTAACTCTTATATTCTAGTACTTTGGAAGCGTTTTGGCCTGGTCCTTACCAGAATTTGCTATTGAAGAAACATTATGCAGAGAACAACATCAAGCCTAACTCGTGCTTTGCCTCACATGTCGACGCACCCAACACCGTAGGCTCGACTGTAAAGGCTGCATCCTGATAACACAAGCAATGTCCTCGGTTCATCTCTTCTATTCTGTTGTCAGTGATACGCTTGTAGGTAGGAACCTATGACGGCTTCGTATCTGTAACCTGTGGTTGGAGTACGAGTAAGTAGTCTACGATGATCCACGGAGCCATACGTCGGATTTCAGGGACTTTGCTTGGGCTGTCGACGTGATAGGGACATGGTGTGGCTAAAAAGGTTGCCCCTACATTTCCTGTTTTGACTTGTCTATCTAACTGTCCTCTCTTGAGGTCCAGAACAATGTCTCATTGGTCCTCCTCCACGATGCCTGTTGATAATTACTTAGAGGACGGGCTTTTTGGTCCCGGGAGAAGAGTCGTAATCGTCTGACAGAACTTGAATAATGTTATAGACAGCATAAATTTGAGCGTCAATATCTCTCTCGTCTTGGCACTTCGTGTCCTAGATAATGAAGTCGTTCACAACCAACACACGGCGCGATAAGAGGCGCTTGATGTCAGTCGTCGATTTGAGTTCATCTTCCCTGATATGAATGCATTGTGAGAGTCATTGCGGGGATAACAGCAGCATTTGGTTAATGATTCCAGCCAGCTGCGCCCATGGCTTCAGATGGGATGGTACTTACTGGGGGAGGGGCACACCTCATTCTCTATACTATAAGTAGCCAAAGATTTTATTCCTCTTCAAGCGGCTGTTATCTGTCTGCAAGGGCCAGAAAACGAACAGGGGCGGCATTAGTTCATGTGTCAAGCCATAGTCAGGCATTTTCATTGTGTTCCAGACGTCGTCAAAGATCCGACTATCTCGGTGGTCCGTCGCTTAAGTTATTTCGAATTCAATAAGAGACACCAGTCTTTCGTTGTAAGGCGAACGTTTAT